TGTATCTGCTACTATTCCACCAAACAAATGAAGCAATTTTGAAGACTGCTTGAAAGACTGATGGCAATACGTTGGGGTGGGATTTTCTGCCGATTCTAAAGTTCAAACAAATGGTGAGACGTTGAGGACAACCTACAAACATTCGATCCCTGCTGCTGCTGTTTGTAGTTTAATTTAAACTTTTCACCACGTTGGGATTTTATGCACAAGAAAAGGTGGATGTTTTTCTAAATATTTTTCAAGTAAAGCGTGGAACACATTAACAGTCAGCCTCCTTTACAATGATTTTCTTGAAAAGAGTCCAGTGTAACCAGAAGCCTGCATATATCACATTACTTGTAAATAGGGTCGATCTCATCTCAGTGTAAATACAGCGAGAGAACATCAGCGAACAAACAACGTCATGGGAACCGAGGGTCAGAGCAGAAATGTCAGGCATAAAGCTGTGGGAAACCTTAATGCAGGGCTGGGTTAATAAACAATAACCCTGTGTTAGACCATCCCACAGATGATGAGAGCATGGTGAAGACGCACCAATGAAAGATTTAGTCAAAGAAGCAACTCTGGAGGTGCTGCAGTAATCCCAACTCAGGTGGGAAAATCAGTTTACAAATCTTGACTCTTTCTAGAGGAGGAACAGCAAATCAGGTCAGAGTTGATAGGAGAAATGTTTATTTGTAAAGAAAAAAAATGTAATGACTGTGCCTAATTCAACAATGTTCTTCCTGAGGCCTTTTCAGATTTGGATTTGTTAACAATTTAAAAGTTGTGTATCGTTTTCCGTCTACCTCTTGAATGTGAGCTATTTGTGTTGGTCTGTCACATGAAATCACAATGACACATTGAAGTATGTAGTTGAAATGTGATAACATGTGGAAAAATAGCACGATGCACAGAGTTGTTCTGAAAATGTAACATTTCCATGTGCGCAACCTCCCTCATTTACTAGGAAAGGATTTCTGGTTCTTAGGATTCAACATGAGGAAAGAAATAAATACCAATATATAATGGTATCTATATATAAATACCATTTCAAGTAATTTTTCATTCCCACTGGTTTAGTTTTAAAATGAATGAACCTTCAGGCTTGGTTTTTACTCAAGGGAGAAAATGAAACCTTTCTAAAGTCATCCAGCTTTGTTTAAACTGATTCAAATGGACTTTGCAGAACAATTTAGTGTGTGACGTAAGCCGAGTCGTAAGCTGGCCTAAATACACTCAGACAGAGACTAAAGGAACCGCATCATTCTTATTTCTCCTTTTGCATCTCAAAGTCCAGAAATTCACCTTATTTTCCAGCATCATAAACGGCCAAATAGAAATAATAAAATCTGTAAAACTTGCATGTTGGTGACATGGCTAAGCATGCATTGAGGCAGGTGATAGCCAATGAAATGTCTGCTCTACAAGCATGAATCATATCTTTGCTTCTGTGCGGCGGAGATGATAAAACATTTGCATGGATTTCCAGATATGACTTGTTAAATGTGAGAGCTCCCCCTACTGGTAGCATCTGAGCCGGTGGCGGTGCAGCAGTCACATGAGATCAGTAGCAGTAATTGAACTTTAATGAGCCCACCTGTGTTTAGTTAAGCACGGGGGAGCAGGACAAACACAGACACAACACAGTCAGAAGACACAATGAGCGCCTCTTCAAGTGGCTGCTGATGCATGCTGGGTAGTGAGGCCGTTTGCCCCGAGGTTCACGCTGCGGTGGGGAGCAGGGGCCACACAGGGAAGCTAAAGTTGGTGTTGCTATGGAGACCATTGTGTTTCCCTCCCTTGTGATTGGTGCTGCTGGCATGACCAAGGATCTGCTATTTCCGTCATGATTCAACACCTCGGACACGAGCGCGGTCACAGGATGCGCACGCACACATCAACACACACAAAGAGGCCGCTGTGCTCACTTCCCAGCTTGAAAATACCTCGGATTAACATACAACAAACTTGTCATTTGTTAAAATCGACTTAAGCACTTCAGTTTCTTCTAACATTAAGAAGCTAAATTCAGTAAGCATACAAAACCTAATGCTGTTTTTCTTTCTATCGAAATCCCAGGCTAGTTTTTTAGCAGGCCCTTATCAGGTAGCCTTCAGGAGACAAACAAGGCGGTAATTGGATCAATAAATTAATATGCTTTTAAATGACCAATTGATTTATTAGAGGAAACAAAGTAATGACTCGTGAACTCATCTGGGTTTATGGAGCTCCGAGATGAATCCATCAGGAAGATGGATTCAGGCGTGAAGAGAAGACGTGACGGAAAATCCTGTCCATGTAAATCCTCATTTCACAGCCTAACAGTAAAGTACAGTAACATAAATGGTGACAGACACAACAGCCTTTTACATAAAAAAAAGATGCAAAACGTGCTGAAAACAGGCCATCATAAATCCTTTATTTGCGTACACTACATACCTCTTAGGGATTTTCTGATTTTGCACATTTATACAATTTAAATGGTGCGAAGCATCAATAAGGTCAAAGTCATCCAGAGTAAAAAGTCTGACTAACACACTGGTAATTCTGCTTTTCTTTAAAACTCTCAGTGTGAGCTTATGCCTACCAAAGTAAAATTTAAATTTATTTTAAAGAGATGGTATTATATATATTTTCCAGAGACATAGTGCCACTTTATAAAACATAGCTTTAATTTTCATTTTTAATTTGTTAAGAAAAAAAAATATCCAAATGTGAAAAAGTAAAACTAAGCATTTGGAATAACCGATTCCTTCACATCGCTGCTGAATAATTTTGTCCAGATCTTCTTTGCCCAGTTTCTTTTATTGAGCCACACTTGACAACTAAGCATGAACTGCCTGTGTGAGGTCACGCCACAACATCTCAGTCAGATTAAAGTCTGTTCTCTGACTTCTATTACCTTCATTTTGTATGTTTTTTTTTTTGTTTTTTGTTTTTTTAGTCATTTAAAGGAGTATTTTCCTGGTGTGCATTGAATGACTCAAAAAACACAAATCAGGATGGAAGCAAATAATTTAACAGAGATAATTTTAACTAAATATAAAAAATGGCTAAGTGAAATGAGAACTGACTGTAAATAAATAAAAAACTAGACAAGATTAATCTAGATAAAATCAATGGAGGCAGAAACAAACATTTGCAAATCACAAATTAAGAAACTGATTAAGATGTTAAGAGTAACAAAAAAAAAAAAAAAAAAAACAAGTCCAGGATCCTGGCACATTTTCATTTCATTGTATTAGCCCCACGTCTCGGTATTAAAATGTTTATTTATTAGTCTGGAGTAACGTTATAATCTCTAATACTGTAATTTCATTGCCTGGAAGTGGAAAATCATCATAGGTAACTGAAAATAAGGCTTGAAAATATAAATCTGTGTAATTAATCTGTATCACATATCGTGCTTAGTAAATTGAGTTACTGAAATAAATGAGCTTTTCATAAATATTCTGATTTATTGAACATGACTGTAGGTTTAACAGGGGACCAGGTTGGTTTCCGTGGCTGTACCACCCAAATATATACAACCATCACTGGAAAACTGCAGAAACTCTTGGAGAGTAAGATGTCTCCTCATATCAATAATTGGTGACGGATGTAAAAAAATGAATAAATAAATAAACACGGTTCCTCAGGGCAACAGTGATCTGGACTGATCTGTGGTATGGTGACCAGAAGGAGTGAAAAGCAGGGAAATGTCTTTCTGTGTCCAGAGGCACTAAGACCCAGTGGGGAACGGGGGAACCTGCCTGCCCACCACTGCCTGCACAGCTCTGCAGTCGCTCTGGACGACACCAAGAGTCTGTGTGTGTGTGTGTGAAAGTGTGTGAGGTGGGGGAGCATGTCCACCCATTTGGGCATCATTAATTCCTGCTCCTGTTCTTGCCTCTGGATCACCTTGATGTTCAGAGAGAGGCAAAGATAAAACTGAGAGGCTGAAGGTGTGTGAGGGTGTGTGTGTGTGTGTGTGTGTGACTGAATAACATGAAAGCATGCGACCGGTCTGAGGCATGGCAAATTGAAACGGCCCAGGTGAGGAGGAGACTCAGCACTCTCCTCCTCCCCCTCCTCTTCCTCCTCGCTCCTTTCCTCCCCTCCCTTCCCTCCTCCCTCCCTGTGACGTGGTGTGTATCAGTGTTTGCTGTGTGTGTGGGTGAGAAAGCGAAACAGGTCAGCAGTGCCTCAACAGACTGGGAACCTTCACAGGAGGAAGCAGCCCTCTGCAGACTCAGGTATGTCACTGACTATTCATTACACACACACACACACACGCACACACACATCTCCAGAAGGTGGGTTGAAGGTAGAATGAATGACTCATGAGGCAGGATGATGTTCCACCACATCTCTGCTTCTTCGTGTAAAACAATAAAATACGGATGCAAACACCTCGTTTTCCACACCGTGTCACTACTGCTGCTCGTGCGTCGCTGCAGGAAAGTCAGAGAGACGTGAAGCGAGAGGTTCGGTTGAACAACAGCTTACTTTTTTCTGCTTGCAGCAAACAGTGTCATGTGCATATGATAGGGTCATATGTTTCCAAGTCAGCAGTCCGAGGGACTCAGCACAGCCTTGGATTGTAGCTTTGTATGAATTTTTTTCCAGCGTGTGAGTCCAAGTTTGAACTTAAATTGCACTGCTGTTGCTGATTTGATTGCATTAACTGTGCTAAAGTGCGCTAAATGTTTCCTTCCCACAATAAATAGTTCTGTTTGTGTGGTTTGTGTCTCATAAAATGGATCTTTTAAAAACTCCTGTGCTTTTCAGATTATACTTAACTCAATGAGACCTTCTTATAAACTAGACTGCTTCTCTGCACAACAAAGTGATGATAATGTTTGGCTTTGATGTAGGTATGAATGGAGCAGTCTGAGATTTTCATGGTCTTTAGTAAAATGCTCACAATTTGAAATGATTAACAAAAGAAATAAAATTTATAAAACTTGGCCATTCTCCTTTTTATGGAGTACCGCTGGGACTAAAGAAAGCTTATATTAGAGGGTTACCTAGTTAAGCTATCTGCTGTGGTAGCCAGACTGCAGTCATTTTTGTAGTTGGGTTTTGTAGTGGAGCTTCTTTAGTTTCCACCCCAGGACTTTCTGTGGTGGAAACTGGTTATTTTTTCAATTGGTAATTTATCAGAACAGCCCAATTTGTCTTTGTTGTCACCAAGGGAAAAAAAGCATAGAGGCCTTTTTTTCAGCTAGTTGAAGCACCAGGTGGTGGAGAGACAGCCATGTGTCACGATATGGTCCGTACAATCCAATAAAACTGCATTCACTTTGGGAGTTTCGCTAACATCTCTTTAAGCTGTAGCAACAATAAGGTGGAAAATTTAAGTGGTTTTCAACGTGCAACTTTCCAAGACCTTGGTGTACCTCAGCTCCCGCCCACTTTAAAGTAACAATCCACAGTCGCCGCTCCATCACAGGAAGTCTAAATAAGTGACTCGATCCCCTTGACCTGTTAAGAAAAGACCACCCACTGTCTTACGCCCGCACCTGTCAGGTGATGGCTGCGCCTGTTGTGTGTATACGTGGGCAGGAAAAGACGAGTAGCCCTGCAGGGGACGAGGCCTGTGACACCTCTGAAGTGGAAAACTTGCACCTGCAGGTGAGCAGCATATGGAAATGTACCAAAGCGTCGGTGCTCATTCCTGAGCTTTAACACTGTGTGGGGTTGCGTCCAGGTGAGGTTGTGACAGTAAACACTGCCTACTCGACTGGCAAACACTGACACAGGCTGCTGAGGGTGACCCACCACCATACGCACGAGGCCTGTTTGATTTCATAAGAGAATTGTCTGTAAAGTTTTCTGGCGTTTTCCTAATGGCAGGAAGAGACATGTCAGGATTTTTGCGATATGAAAAGCACTCATCGATCTCCTCTTCACATCACTTAAGACAGCAGGGAACTCTGCAATGCTGAGTTTTGCAGTTTATTTGCACATCCGTAATTTCTTCTCCGCTCTCTTAATGTGGACATATGGTTCAACCCTTTGCTTTTAGCTTCTCCCTGGGGTCTTGCTGCCCTGAAAACACACATCTGAGGATGCAGATGTCAAAATATCCAATAAATTATGGCCTTGGTTGTAAATAAGTGCAACCGGCATCGAGATGAATAACTTTCAAGAGACAGAAAAGGTTTGGGCCAACACAGGGCAATGAATTTAGAGGGGGAAAAAAATAACTATTTTGCACAACTTAAAGCTTCAAAATGATTAACTCTACAGCATTTTACAAATGGTTTTGCACTTCTGCAATGATTGTTAAATAAGAATGGACAGGTTGGAGTTAGATGCTAAAAGGATTTGTGCAAAATGCTGCACATCTTACAAACGTGATACACAACCAGTTTTAATGCCTGGCATCATTCATTGAAGCACACTCCCCAAAAGACAGATTAATTTCAAGTCTCTAAAGTCCAAGTGAAGAAGTAAATGACTTAGTGACTCTTTTTCTTTCAGGTCTTTGCTGAGAGGGATAGTCAAGAGAGGACTCCTTCATTTACAAGATCATCTACATCAAGGTGAAGACTCGAATCATCGTCTGCCAACCTCCAAACTCAAATCCCCCTCTAGTTACTATGACCAACACCAAAGGCTGAACTTCTCAGATGCCCCCTTTGACAGAGGAGGATGGGTGATGGACCCGTGAAATTCAGCAAACTCCCTCCTCTTCATTCCATCCTCTCATGGAGCATACCATCAGACCACGGCCCTCTTGGAACAACGCGTCCGCTGCCTCCGCATTCCTAAACTCTTTTCAGCCAAATGTCTCCAACATAACCAGACAAATTGGGAGTACCGATAATGGGATAGATCTGAATCAGACCTTGGGGCTGTGCGCTATGCTCGTCATGGACGTCCTAGCGGTGGTGGGGAACTTGGCTGTGATGATCGTCATCACTAAAACGCCGCAGCTGAGGAAGTTTGCCTTTGTGTTCCACCTCTGTCTGGTGGACCTGCTGGCGGCACTGCTGGTGATGCCGCTGGGGATGCTGTCAGACCGGATTCTGGAGGACGAGGCCCTGTGTCGAAGCTACCTCTGCCTGAGTGTGTGTCTAGTGAGCGCCGCCATCCTCACCATCTGTGCCATCAACGTGGAGCGGTACTACTACATCATCTACCCCATGCGTCACGAGGTGAAGATGACGGTCGGGGTGGTGGTAGCGGTGCTAGTTGGGATCTGGATTAAAGCTCTCGTCATGTCCATGCTGCCCCTGCTAGGATATCTGTTTCAGGGTTCCCCGACTGTGGGGACTCCTGAAGTCCTCGTTCCCAGTCAGAGACACTGCTCCCTCCACTGGACAGGAGGCAGGTCCACACGTATAGTTTTCATGGTTTTCTTTACTGTAATCTATTTTCTGTGCCCCATGCTGATCATTTTGGTGGTCTACTGCAATATGTTTAAGGTGGCCCGAGTGGCATCCATGCACCGTGGTCCCAACCCCACCTGGGTGGACACGTCGAGGCAACGCTCTGACTCTGTCAGCAGCCACTCCACCATGGCAGCAAGCCTTGGCGGCACCGGAGCGCGTACAACTCCTCAAAGGACCTTCAGCGGCGGGAAGGCCGCAGCAGTTTTGGTGGCAGTCGGCGGTCAGTTCTTCTGCTGCTGGCTGCCATATTTCTCCTTCCACCTCTACTCGGCGGTCATTTCCACTGCGCCGGCCTCGCTGACCCAACTGGAGGGCGTGGTCACATGGATCGGCTATTTCTGCTTCACCTCCAACCCCTTTTTCTATGGCTGCTTGAACCGTCAGATCCGAGAGGAGCTGGGCCGCCACCTGGCTTGCATCTTCAAGCGGGCCGGGCCCGTAGAGGGGGAGCAGCTGCCGAGCCGCGAAGCCTCCATTGAGGAGAACTTTTTACAGTTTCTCCAGGGCACTGGATGCAATCTGGAGCCCTGCAACTCTCACAGCAGAGCGAGCCTGGAGGAGGCAGGAACTGAAGGTCTTCAAGAATCAGCTGTTGAGCAGAACACGCCAGCTGACTTCCCCATCCCAGGGCAGATCCTTGAGGAAACCGCAGAGTTCATACAGCAGCAACAGCTGAACAATGAGCTTTGTGTGTCAGAGAACTGCTGCAAGACTGTGCCAGAGATATAACTGCCTCATGTACTGTTTCTTCCACCATCTAATAACCCAATGAACATGTTCAGTTTTATTCATAGTGTTTCTTATTCATGCTGCAACATTTTTTTTTCCCAAGTGACAGATCAAGCACACTGCAAAAATGTGTTCTAGAGTCGGGCTTTGGGTCAGAACCCGACGAACCCTTGAAGAATTCCAGTTTTGCGCATCACTGGCTGCCCTGTTAAATGTTTTTGGGAGTCTTATTGTGTCATGCTGTTTTTGCTTTGCGTCACATAACACTTGATGTTTTGGTTACAGTTCAAGTGACGTGACGAACTTTATATAAACATGAAGAGGCTCTGAGACAATGCAAGAACATAAATCAGGGATAGAGTAGTTTTAAGTGCTGAATGACTTCTTTAATATTCTCCACAAATGTATTTATTTATTAGGTGTTCAACATCTATCAGCACTTTTCATAAAAACAAAGTGGATTTGTATATCTGGGTTTTTTTTAATTTTTATTTTATTTAAATGTTTTGATTTCAGAACAAACGAGAACCTCTTTTACAATTAATCCCAATTGATTCAGACATAAATATCGATAAATCTTCTAAACTGGTGGTTTTCAAGTTGTTTTTTTAACAAGTATCACCTTGGTAAGTAATACCTTCTTTAAAGTACCGCGCCATACCATCAACACACTGCATGTGGAAATAGAAATCCATCAGCTTCACTGAAGGAAGAGGCTTAAATACAAGCTCCGTTTTTACAAAGACATTGAATTTTTCCAGTTTGAAGAAAAAGTCAACAAAGAGGTTCATATGAATCATAATTTTAAGAGAGAAAGCAGGAGGTTTCTGATCTGAATTTATTGTGATACACGCAGTAAAAAAAATAGTGCTGAATAGCCCCTTTTGAAGAACTTGTTGCTGCAGTCTTTGCACAAAATGTAGAGAAAAAACACTGTCATTAGCTTGTTAGCTAATTAGGCTAACTAAGCACATCAGTTAGCAAATCCAACTAGTTTTCGATTTGATTTCTAACATGGTTCAGTCATCCTTAGACCGAATTTTTGACTTTGGGTGTAAATGGAGTAAAACATATTTAGTCTGATTGTCTTGGGTTTACTATCGTCTGCTGAATCAAAGTCAGTTTGCTTGTTCTCACTTTGCAAATTATAGTAAAAACAAAAACAAAGTACCGATAAATGCAGTCCAAGAACCGCAAATCAAAAGTCAAAAGTCATGGATTTAAACTAATTAAGAAAAAATAACCACTAAAACGTACAGGAAAAAAGTGCTCCAAAAGCTGCCGGCTTGAAGAAAGACATTTTCTACTTTTACAAAAGATTTTAAGTTATTGCGCTGAATCATCAGTTTTCACCATGCACTTATTCTCTGTTCTCACTTCAAACCACCAAGGAAATAAAGGCTACAATACTCCAAAGGCTTTAAAGAAAAACAATGGGTTGAAGTAACGTTAACTTTTATTGTGCTGAACAGGATTGTTTCGCAGCTTTTGCTGCGGCTGGTATTTATAATAAACAGGCTGACAGTGTATTTTTAGCCATTTTCCAGAATGTTATTATCATGTTTATCTGTTCTTAGTCTTGTGATTATCACCTCCTCACCAAAATGGGAGACTCGTGATTTCAGCCCCTTCCACTCAAAGACAAACGTTGTGGATGGTTTAGTTTGTTCATCAGCAGCGGCGGCGTGGTGCAAAAAAGGGGTTTTGGGCTCTGTCGGAAAACAGCAGCCCCTTGCCATGTTAGAAAAGCTGCAGGAACGAAACGTGGCGCTCATTGCACCCAGTGATGTCTGCGCTGTTTACAGGTAAACACCAGAGCGGTGTGAGCACTCCCGTGTTTGTGCAATAAACAACCAGGCTTGTTGTGGCTACACACAGCACAGAGGTGTGACAACGCTCGCACACATGGAAAGCTTTGCCTTTGGCCTCGTTTAGCAACAAATGGAAGACACTGGAGACACTTTCCCTGTTCCCAGGCGGAAAGCCAGACGGTTTGTTCAAGTCACACTAGTGGTGACCGACGTCGCGAAGACGACAGATTGGCTAACCTTTAAAGAAAAGGCACCTTTTGTGCTGTTTTCGTCTATTTTGGACTCGTCTCGTCCGGGAGAGTTGGCGCGATCACAAGACTCTGAACACAAGGCAAACAGCCAAACCAAAAAAAAAATAAATAAATAAATAAATGTCTTATTGTCAGGGGGAACACGTAACACTCTTAATTTCCTTACTGTTTGACTTTGTTGCAGACATGTTTTTTTTTGTTGTTGTTTGTTTTAAAATGTTTATTTTTAATAAAAATAAAATAATTAAATTTGCTGAGTCAAAGCCACAGAGCATCATTGAACATTATAAAAGAGGACTCAGTGGCACGGTCTTTGTGTGTTAATTTATTATCAGCACTTATTAAACTGTTGTCTTTTAGTTACAAGATCATATAAATGCCTTGATTTTTAACACCAGCGTTTAACAACATCAGCAAAACTGCCCTGACCAGTCTGATAAAATGCTTTCAACTCTCTTCCTGCCAAACATCTGTCTCTTCCGAAGAAGAAGAAAAAGAAGAAGAAAAAGGAGAAGAAGAAGAAGCTTGCTGAGCTGGTGGAAGGTGGACAGTTTATTTACTTTTTAACTGCAGTGTTGTCCTCCGTATCGCACCAAAAAGATGGATGTGTTCATTTTTCTTTGTGCATCTCTTTTTTGTACCTGAACTGAAAAGACTGTTATTCCTCGTGTGTATTCTCCATCTGCAGAACTCATTAAAGACAACAGAAATTATTTTAACTCATGTGTTGCGCTTGTTGTTATGTTTAGATCCATAACTTCCAGGAGTTCAGTTAGGTTATTAAAATGATAAATGCAAAGAGACATTTAGAAAAAGGTCAACATCATTTCTATAAACATGACTTCACATATTTTATTTCTAGTACATTATTTCTGAGGATTTCTGATAGTTTCCCTGCAGACTTCTGCACCTTTTTTTTTTTTTTTTTTTTTTTTTTTTTTTTTTTTTTATGGCTTGTTTTTAAAAAGATATTT